TCGGATTATTACATTTAAAATGCTTGATCATTCACGAAGATATTGAAAAATTACTATGCGAATAATGTTTTATAAAAATTGGCAGTATACAAACAATTCACCACAGAGAGAATTAACGAAGAGTATTATGAATATTCGAAGGAGGGTGGAATGGATCGAAAAGAGCGACATATTGATTCTCTTATTCGTGAAAATTTCGTATATCGTTCGTCTAACTAGGCGAAACTCCGTATATTAGAAACTATGTGATACGTTTTTCAAACGATTCGTTAATTTTTAATACTCGTTGATACTTATGAGATACTTTTTTTTTTTTCATTTTAATAAAGATACCACGTTTGTTATAACAGGCTATAAGAAGCAAAAGTTGTTCACATGGATTCCGTTCATTTGTGCTTTCATGAACTCGTGATGATTTTTCTTACATTTTTACTTTAATTCTTTGACAATTTAACAAAAGTTTTATAAATCATGGTTAAGAAACGTACAATTTTTTAAGCTTTTAGAAATTTTAAAGAAATTAAGGAACGCTTATTAATATTTAATATTTAAGTTAATTTTCAGTATGGTTTTAAAACTAAATTTTTACGAGAATCTAAAGATAAAAAAATATTATAAAAAAATACAGTTCTTGCGAAATTAGTTCTTTAGAAATTAAATTTCTAAATTTAAGAATAGTAGTAGACTAGAAAACTTCTATCTTTATTCACAAGTTAAATTGTCAAAGAGTTAAACAAAATTTTACAACTCTCGAAATAATTGGTCATCGAAACTTGCTCAGTCTATCGTTATTTAAAATTCGATATTCTACTTAGTCACTTTCAAAGTTGCACAATAAAATCAATTTCTTTTTATGATTAAAAATCTAAAAATTCGATTTCTATACGCAAAAAATTAAAAACAAATATATTTCGCATGATTGAAGATTGAAATTTTCTTCGAATCGCTAAAATTCTATAATAAAATTCAAACGGAAGTCTCATACGACATTTCAGCGACAATCTACTTTTTGATTTTCCAGATCGTTACATCCTGTTGGTCATACGAAATATTTTCCAGTCGAACAGTGTCGAACTGACGAAGCAAAATTTTCGATAAATCTTCGACAGCGATTTTAAGCGCGTGGAGCGACAGCAAGAAGCGGAAGCGTACAATATGGTGTCCCTTCAGGGAACCATCTAGCAAAGCGAATCGTTTGTACATCCGAGTTAAGATTCTCTTTGGCTTGGCAAACGTTCTTGTGGCATCTTTCAATTTCTCGTTTGAGTTTCTTTTTATGTAAACATCATCTCAGAACCTCGTGAATCGTTTTGAAAAGCTTCGATAAACATACAGTAAAAGCTAGCGAATAGAATTTCTTCTCTCCTCCTTATTTCACTTTTCTTTTTCTTTTTTTAATCGCGATAAACAAATGATAGTCGCGTAAACCTAGAACACTTAATATTCAGGTACTAATCACTTTATCGTTCGGTGACTCGATTGCTGTATCAAAGTCTTCGAGATGAGTTTCTTTTTGATTTATTAAGAGCTAGTAGGAATAAAATGTTTTGAATCTTTGTCTGGTGTCGTAAGATTGGCATAGTAATTTCCTTCAATTTCTTTTTGAAATTTTATTAATTAAAAATATTTTCTTTGAAAATTTTGTGATGTTTGGATAAATTTAGACTAAAATGAACTATAAAATATTGCAAAAATTTATTTTCTTATTTTTTGGGAGAAAGGTTAAATACTTTTAACATTGAGATTCTGAAATTGTAATGAAAATTTACTATTTTTCTAAAATTTTTTTAATTTTGAAATTAATTACGCGAAAAGAGAAAAATAATATTAAAAAATAAATCAGTATTTAATAATTAAATCTAGCTTTTTTATTATAATATTATATAATATATAATATATTCGAGTATTATTTTAATCTTTCCACATATTTAATTTTTGAATTAAATAAATTTCAATAAAATTCTAATTTTAATCACATGAAAGAGGCACCAGTCAAAGATTGTAATTTAAGATTGTATTGACTCAACGTATCTCGATTTTTCATCAATGGATCCTTACACAAAGATTCCATTTTTAATAGCAAATAATTTCTACTAGAATCTGAATGAAAAGTTTAATCAGCTAAATGGGTAGAATATTTGTTTGCGGGCTGTACAATTTTTTTTTTTTTTTTTAATAAGCATTTTTCTTTAGTCTATTTCTTCTTCTGTCCTTTTTCTCTTCTTATTTTATAAATTTTAAACGATCGTCTAACAAGGACAATAATTGAGCTTTCGGATATATTATACACGAATTACAGAAGATTCGCCGATATATTCGATCACGAGCGTGCCCTTTTGATTTTTCTTCGTTAAATCCTTATTATCGTTATGCGTACATTTAATTGTTCTAAATTGTACTTACTTTCCAGGTTTCTACGTAACGTATTATTAAAACGTAAGTAAAGTCTTTAAATGATTTTGTGTCACGATTATGGAGACCAGCTCCATCTTCTATGTATGTATATCTTTCTCTCTAGAAACTCGATTATGTCATACGGTGTATGTCGATTCTTCCATTTCCTCATCTCTTTTCTTTTCTTTTTTTTCTTTTTTTTTTTTTTTTTTTTTTTTGTCTTTTTCTGCTCTTGTTCTCTTTTTTTTATAATCCTAAATGTTATTTTCTGAACACACATGGGAGAGAAGTATCGATCTATTTATAGTTGAATGCTTTTTAAACGAACATAGAGAGATATTTTTACATGTATATTTGAATAGTTTTTTAAAATAAATATTTGAAACCTTAGTTTTGATAAAATATATTTAAAAAAAAAGAATAAATTTTTGATGCTATATTTTTTGAAAAATGAAAAGTTACTAAAAAATAAAGCAAGATATACATATAGATATATACTTCTCTCGTAATAACATTGTAACTAAGAAATCATTAACACGGATAATATTTCCCTAACTTACTCTGATACTGCAATTATACATCAGATAGACTATATAAATTTCATTTACATACGTTTCAACACCATCTTTTTATTTCACTTTTCACCAGATGAGAGACATAAAACTTTTTCATGGTGCATTAACATTTTAATATTTGTTTTCCTGAACACTTATAATCTTTTTTTTTTTCACTCGAATTTGATTTTTATCAGTCAGTTTGGTTAACTCGTGTTTTCGAGTCAACAAGATTATCTTCTGCAAGAAATCCGACATATTTTCTTTATAATTCGAGGAACTCGAAGTGTCTTGATTTTGATTTGAAAATAATTCTATAATATGTATATAATTATCAATTCAATATTCGATAATAATTATAAATAATTATAACTCATTAGACTATTAAAGTGGCTTCATTATATTATTAAACCAATAACGAATTATTCATTAACTATTTAGCAATAATACATTATTCATTTGCGCAATCAAGCTTAATGATTGAAATTAAGTTTATTATTCCATGTAAATTAATATTTCATTATAGAACCATTTATATTAATCAAAATATTTTATAAATTTCACTAATGTTTCAATAGTTTACATATTATAAAATTAATCATTATTACATCTAAAAATTTAACAAATTCAATCAACTTCTTAATAATCTCTTCTAAACATCTTTTTATATTAATAAGAATTCATATAAACTGAAACGAAAAATTCTAATTCCAAAATTTCAATTTAAAAAATTTTTCTTCCTAATAATTAACTTTATAATAATCAAAATCTCTAATTTTAATTTTTAAGTCAACAACTAACTACACATACAAATTAATTACTCATTTTTAAAAATTCTTCAACTTTTAAAAATCCTTTTCTCAATTTAACAATTAATCTCATAATAATCTCAAATCTCCAATATTCCAACAATTTAAAAATTTACTTCTTATCACCCTTTTTCCTATCCTTAACATTCAACAAATAAAAATACTCAACCCACGTACCATCACTCTTCAAAAAATACCCAAAAGAAGCCACTTGGAATTCCTCTACATCATCATCAATCGCTTACGTTCGGCATAGGCGGTCCATTTCCGGTCACCAGCATCCACTTGCACGGTCAGTAGCGCGTGATCGATGCAAACTCGAATGAAAATTTCGTTGGTCTCGATGAGGGCGTAGATTCGGCTGTTGGACGATCTTGTACGCGGGCCATCCTGTTTTCGACACGCATCGTCGGCTTGGCATCTGCCAATCGGCTCCGGTTGAATAGAATTTCCGATGACAATGAGATTTCGATGTCAGCCGCGACGTATTTCGAATATATATGTGTATATATATATATATATCTCCACCCACGAGCACCATCGCGATAATAGCCTTTGTATTGTTCACGGATATTGCGCTTACAAAAGATCGTTTCGATTAACCGGACCAGAGGATTACGCGTCCCTCCGCCCTTCATCCACTCACTCTTCCGCTTTCTGGCCGCGCGCATCAACGGGCAATAATTGTCAGATTTTAAAGAGCAACGAAGATTTCGAAGTCGGGAATTTGGTGGAGAATGAAAGTGAATGTAGAATAACAGAATTTAAAGACTTTTGAAGGAAGATTTCAGAATTAAGGAAAATTTTTTTTAGAAAAAAATTAAGTTTGTAGTAAAAAGTATTCTTTTTCAATTTTAGTAATGTGATCTCCTGATAAAATTATAATCTACAATTTTATGATTTGATATAGAGTTGGATATAATTTTTTTATAATTATAGATAACATTTTTAATAAGTATTTTGTTAAAAAGATTTTAATTTATTGAAATATTTAAGTATTTTTCTTCTTTTTTAAATTATTTATTTTCTATTTTTAATTATTAAAAAAAAATAATAAAATGATTGTTTTAAATAAAGATCTTTCGATTATTATATTATTCGAGATAAAAATATAAAAATTTGTAACTTGCCAATTTACTAATATTAATATTTTTTGTAATAACTATATAATATAAAATATAAGAATGAAAATAATATCAGGCGACCCATGTATATTGTATATTGAATATATTGAATATTTGGTATGTTTGTTTTCAGGCACAAGATTCGAATGCAGGATGAATTGGAAAACGAAAGAGTGGGGAAAATGGTTTACGTGACGTTTCCTGGTGTTTCGAAGCTTGAGCGCAATCTGACTTTTGTTTTCCACCGAATGAAAAAGATTTCGCGACAAATACGTCAATTCAAAGAATAAGTAAAGAAAGTTGAACAGGTTCGCATGCTGAAAATGAAAATTTTTAGACTTTTACACACAAAAATCAAAATGAAAAATTTATATAAAAATATCCTACCTTTTAATCGCGATAAAATAAGACAAAAATTTTTCAAAAATTATTATAAATTAAATAAAATCCATATTATTATTCAGCAGTCTTAACAACGCCAAAAGATTCACTTTTTAACACAGTGAAATTTTGTATGATTATTCACCGGAAACTCGCCAAAAGGATGTCAAAAATTCAGAGAAAGAAAATATATGTGTACTTCCTACAGCGATCCTTGAATCTTAAAAACGGTACAATCCCGGATTTACCGCGGTCGTAAAGATCCTCCTTCACCGTAAAGTCTCTCATTGTCTCAGATTACAGTCTTCAAGGCAAGCTATTGCGAATCTTCCTCTTCTTATTCCCATTCCATCACAGGGATCCAAGAAGCGTACGTACGGATTCACATAAATAATGATCAAAGACTCTGCGACAATCACGTCCTCGACAATATCCTTTTTTAGTCGGATCTTGTTCAACCATCTAAAACAGGCCTAGCTAACTCAAATTGTTCCACTGGTCATTAGCAAATGAAATGAACAAAAGAAATTTCTTGCATTCTTTAAAAATACAAATTTGTACAAATATACATAGTCGACAATTATCCACAATTGACTTTGTCATCGTTAAAAATTCGTTTCATTGTTCGCACTATCGATCAAATTTTTGGAATTATTATACATTCCATAAAATCTAAGATTTTAAAAGATACTCAACTTTGAATTCTACCTGCAAAATTAATATTGAAATAAACAAAATTAATTTAAAGAATTTTTTAACACTCCAATCTTTTGATTATCAAAATGGAACATAAATTACAACTTACACTTTCAAAATAAATTAAAAAATTCCTATCCAAAGAGTTGGCCAGGCCTACATAAACATAAAACATCAACAATAAACAATTTCTCAAGAATCCCAACGTTTCCATCACAGCTCCAAGCTTATCCATCGTCATTGTCCATTCATTTTCAACGACAGTCAATCAACATTATCAAATAATTCATCCCTCTGCTCTTTACCCTTTCTTCTTTATTCATTAAACGCTAGTGGTGATCTGTTCGATCACAGTTACGTCCCTGTGCCGTCTCGGTCTACTTCTGTACGAGTCCTGATGACTCAGACCCTCGGGCACGCTCTTGCTGGGTCTCAGAGGCCCGTAGAATTGCGGTTGGTAATAGTGTTCGGCAGTGTGCATCCTCTCCACCTCCCTCTCGCGGAAATGCTCTTCGTCGAGGGGCACGTGCAACGACTGGGACTTGGGCAACCTCGGCCTTGGCGGTGGAGGACAGGCACACGGCGGAGGTATGCTCATATTTGAGAGGTGCGAGCCAGGAAGAAGAGGGGACGCCGGTTGGCGACCCCAACCCACCAGGAAGAGTAACGCTGCACCGCACAAGGAACTTAACGTGCACGCGTAGTAACCCACCCTCGAGCTGTTCGCGTTCATGTAACCTGCAATATGAAGATAGAAATGTCGTTATCGAAGGGCGGTTGATAGAGCAGATGGTTGAAAATGGATATAAAAATTTCTGTGTTCATGAAATAACACGTTAAAATATGTTTTAAAATATATATATTTTTTATTTCTTCGTAGCTTTTTCAAACAATATATAGAGTTTATATATTATTTACTATCGAATATTTTTTTCCTATTTTTGAAAGAAACTTTTAATTTACCAGTAAGAGGAACTCCGAGAAGAATAGGTAAGGCTTCTGCGGCCTGCACAAGTGCCCAGGAGCGTGCGAAGTGTCTGGCTCTTAGTCTTTCGAGGGCTAACATTTTTAAGGAGTAAAGGGCTCCACCGAGAGAGGCGCCGTACAAACCGGAAGCCAATACCAACCCATGGTAGCCTTGCACGCTGCCCAATGCCACCTGAGCTATAGCTGAAACAGGAACAGTGTGATGAAGATAGATGTTTTCCTTGATTTATTGCAATGGAACTCGCATAAAAAAAGTTCTAATCTTTAAAGTGATATTGATAATTTTTGATATGAAACACAAATTAAAATTTGTCTTCATCTAAATTTTCATATAAATCCTTGGGAATAATTACCATAAAAAAAAAAACATTAATCTCTCATACATTTATAACTCTTTTGCATCACAACTTAATATTATTCTCACAAAAATTGAAATTATTTGGCTGTACAATCAGTGGCACGTTTATGACAGAAACTTTTAAGATTGCCATCCATGTTTCAACGCAGAGAGATCCGGTGAACGGTTATGGAGCATTGAAGCTCAGTTTATTTCGTAATCCTCTTACCCGTGCACCGGTCATTAGCGTTGGCCGGAAATAAAGCAACGAAACACAATTTCTACTAAGCCCCGATTGTTTGATACGGCGATACTTTTCCTTCATAATTGACGCGTCGATTATTGTCGATATTATTCGTTAATTGAATTATATTTCCATTGGAAAAATGTGGAAAAATGTATCGAAATAAGATCAATTCTAATATATCCTATCGAAATTAATTTCTGTATCAAAATTTTATCCATTAAACTTGATTATTCTTAAAGCGTTTTATATCAAGTCGAATTTATCTCGTATAAGTTCAAGTTTACTTTAAAATTATTTATATATTAATATATTCGATACCTTATCGAGATATCGTGCGATATTTCAATTTTCTTCATTGAATCACATTTTAGAGATGAACAAATTGGACAAGTGGAATAGGTTAAGAGTTAGACTGGCAATTGTGACAATTGTTCTGGGATGATTCCGATTCGCTTGGAAGTATGAAGGGTTCAGCAAACGAGACGAGATAATGAGACGCGTGAAACGGTGGCGAAAAAGGTTGATGAGACAATGATGATGGAAGTGAGGATGGAAGACGAAGAAGATGATGACGTATGATATAACGGTGACGCCGATAAAAATAAAAAATTTTAATTAATTTGCAAGAATAATGTATATTTTTTTTCATTAATAAGAAAAATATATTATCAATAATCGTAATAATCTTTTGATGCCGTTTGTTGCATCTATTGCTGATTAAAAAAATCACCAACTAATTTTACCAATTAATTAATAATTGAAATATTGTATCCGACAATTTTCAATCAATCATTATTATCAATCGCTTCTATTACTTTAATATTTCTTCTTAAACTTTTTCATTACACAATATCTTTACTCCTTATCTTTCTTATTCACTCTTTTTCTTATTCTTCTTCAATACAAATACTTCTTTCATCAATCCCAAAAACCATCCAACCCAACTATCTCCAAACCACCCCTATACATTTCCACCTATATCACAATCCACCCCAATACACTCTTATTCATTTTCCTAGAGAACCCAAATCAAAAAAAAAAAAGCCACAAAGCTCGTCTAACTCTCTACTCCCCCTCCTCCCTCTCAATTCTGGAAACGCGCAGAAAATTGCAAATTCTTTTTCTCCACCGTATAGCTTATCCACCGTGGAACGAACTCGATCCAACAAGCGCATCACTGGATAAGCCGCTTTTTTGTTGGTAGGGTTGAAACTCTTCCTGGTCGCGCTTGTATATTTAACTCTCGCTTGTCAGCTCCTCCCCATCCTCTTTTTCCATCGTTGAGAAAAAAAAAAAAAAAAAAGAAAAAAAAAGGGACGTTTCCACGCGTTGAACGTGTGCGTGCGTGTGGTCGTCGGCTGAAAATACGGTTCTCCGCTGATTACGAGTTACGTTCCACGAAATTTTTGCTCGTACACCCCACGTTTCAACCCTTGTTCCCGCTTCGTGGACGTTGCACCGAGCTCGCGAGCTCACTGGTCGGGGGAAATTAGTATGGCCACCGGTTCGGTTTGTCGCGTTTTATTTGCACACGTGCAAATGATATTTACGCTAATGTTATTCGCGTTGAATTTTCTCCGGCTTTTTATGGAATAGGTTTTTTTTCTCTGGAAGTTTTTTTTTTTCAGAGATGTAATTGAGGTTTGCGGTCGGAGATTGTTAATGTTTCGGGAAGGAACATTAAAGCTTATGAGCTTGATGTTCTGGCTTGTAACTGAATTCTGGCATATTCTTATGAGTATTGATTTCGATATAGGGTGACGATACGTGATATAAATTGTGAAATAATAATAGCAATGCATTATTTCCAAAATTTGTTTAATGGTTCTTGGTTTTGGAATATTTCGTAAAGTACGATTGTCGATATGTAAAATATTTCCTTGAGATAAATTCAGGTTATAAATCTACATATTGTATATCTATAGAAAATTTTATTGTCAATTTTGTATATGATAATGTATGGAATGGATGTATGGAATAATGTTTTTTTTTTTATCATTCAATTTATTACGTTCCATTCCGTGGATAAATTTTTATTAATTTAATTAAAAAAAAAAACTAAATTGAAAAGAAATTTATTCAATATTAATTTGAACCTGTTATAAATTAACGCGTGATTGATGAACTTACAGAGAAATATACTGCACAAATTTGCATTGGCTATTAATCGCGAACGATATGTTTAATGTTCCGCATCGTTGTTTTTGTGCGATCGTTGATGAAATACATACGCGGTTGGTAAATATATTAAGCCACATTTTGTGATGTCTATGCGTTAAACACGATATTATATCGTGCCACGTTAAATGAAATTTATTAATAAAAAATTCATCGCGTTTTCTCATATTTCGAGCGTGAAAATATATACGTATTTTTTATAACATATAAAAAACATCTTATTATTTCTATTAAATAAGATGTGGATCCAACTAGTTCTCCCTTTTCCTTCTCTTATTATACCTAATATTTTGGCGAGTAATAAAAATAATAATTTTTTAAATGATTTGAAATTTGTAACATGTTAATATGTTTTATATTTTATACTGAATATATTTTTACTGTATAAATTTTAAATTTGAAAACTGCAATAACAATTTTTACATTTTAAACGACGATAATATTATCTCCGATATAAAATTCGTCTAAATCGTCGTTTCTTCCTTTCTTCCACAAAACCTCTCAGCTATTAAATCACTCGATGGAACACAGAAATAATCGTTTTACGATAATTATCGTTTACAGATAATAAGCGGCGGTAACCTTCGCTGCAGCAATAAAAAAATTCCTCGATCGATATCATTTCCATTAAAAGGGATGATCGACTTAAATTGCCGTAATTTTCTCTGCATTCTTTAAAATATAAAAAACTTATATTCATATTTGTATTAAAATAAAATATATAAATTATTCAAGAAAACATAAATTAAGATTGAAAATTAAACGAGATAATTCTGAATTCCATTTCTTCCCTAATTCTCGAATATTTTCAAGACTCGAAGAAGAAGAAGAAGAAGAAGAAGAAAAAGAAGAAAAAGATTGATTTAATTCTCAGATTTCTCGAGACGATCTCGATTTCAGTGGAATTGGCGAATCGCGTTGATCGCGTTGGGATTAAAATTTCACGTTCGAACGCGCGATGAAATATTCCATGCTCCTCAAACATTTTCAAACGATTCCATGATTGCCAAAGCTTCGTTTTCCTTCGAGATAGCCGTGAGAGAACGAAATTTCAACGGATACGTTTTCTTCCCTTGAATTGTATATCGCGAATCACGTGAAAAGAACGATTTTCGTTTTATCGAATTTTTAACGATGATCGCAATTTTTAACCTCGTAAAAGAACGAAAAAGTGAAGGAATGAAAAATTGAAAAATCTTGTTGCCAGCAAGATTGAGATTTTCCTGATTCTTTAACTTAATTTCAAAATTATCCAATAAAACATTAATGAATTATATATTGTTTTCACTGTTATCAAACCTATTCAAACAATTTCAAATCTTATCTACACTCATTATTTTAAATTATAAAACTATCACAAAAGGAACAATCAAGTAGCACAACGAATCCCAAAGATACATATATACGTATAAATAAACCTGTATATCATATTATATATATGCAAATATATATTGTTCACACTGCTAAAAATCCATTCAAACAATTTCAAACCTGATTCATCCTCACAAAATTAAAAAAACCACCACCAACTAAACGATGCAACAGATCTTAAAGATTCACAATCTTTAACTTATCCCTTCTCTTATCACCATCCAATCAATTCGGATCGAAGACAGAGAAAAATAATTCCCTTTTGGTACAGTAAAAAATCCCAGAACCGATTGACTAATTTCTTCTTCACTAACGAAATCGCTGGAAGTCTGTCTCGGCCTGGCGTCACGTTTTAAATGCGCTTCCTCTGTCCATAGCCAACCCCATTAACGATTGCAACAGTCCTCTTTCATCCCCTCTTCTTTCTTCGCCAGAACGATATTCGCCTCCGCGGCCAAAGCAAAGAACGGAGGAAGGAGGGTGAGACAGAGGAGGATGGAGGAGCCATCGAGGGGGTGACTCGGGGACAGAATGGAAAATACTTTGTGTCGAGAACTCGAGCCGAGGGTAAGCCGGCTGAATGAGGGGGCAAAGACGTGTATGCGGCTGACACTCGAACAGCCCAGCCTGCTTCAAAAGAGTGGCACACAACCGGTGAACGGGTGAAAGGGATGAAGTCTACCACTGAATGGAGGTTATATGTTTTAAGAAACTTCCGGCCGACGAACCTGATGGACGAAAGCATGAAGTCGATGATCGTATTCCTTGTGCATATATCAGATCGATTCGAGAAGCATCTTTGGTTTTTGAAAAATTTTCCTTGAAGAATGTATGTCTCACTCGACCTCTGAACAGAATCTATATAGAATAATACCCAGTAATTATTTTTATCTTTCATGTATAATTTCTACAATTACTTATCAAATTTAATTAGAACAGATGAAATTATGATTTATATCGTCTATGGTTTTCACGTGTCCTTTTGGTTTAATAAAGTTTCTCCATCTTGAACTAGCTAGAAGAACTCTAAAAATTCTAAAATTATTTAACTTCAATCTTATTTAAATTAAACTACTAAATTAAACTACTACTAAATTATTTAATTCAAAATTATACCTACTTATTTTATATAAAATTTCTTCCTTTTCATTTCTAAAACAACATCTTAAAACTTTCCTTCTATCTCCAAAACTTCAAAATTAACATCAAGGAAAATTCTTTAAGAAATATCTACCAACTTTCATCAGAATATTTCTCCCTTATTAATTCAAACCAAGATAATTAAATTATCTCAGTCTATACATTCTGCCAAAATTCCCTTCATTTTCATTAAGAACACGGTATATATATTCAAGAAGGATCTCTTCTCTTCAAACATCATCTCACTGAAACCAAACTTCTCGAGACGTTCTCCTTCGACCCGCTTCCACCGTTCTCGATCGCTTCGCGGTTCGAGCATCCTCGCCACAACAACGTAACGGGTTGTATACTGACCAACTCCGAGAAGAGCCGCCTGGCAGAGATATTGTCTGGACACCAGGCATTGAGCAGATGGTCTGGCAGTAACGACTCCCCAAGCCGCGCAACCGAGAGCCGCTGCCAAGCCTAGGCAAGTTTGCAGGAGCACGACCGCACTAGCCTCCAAACCGTCTTTGTGGCCCTGGATAGCCTGGAACCGATGTGTTTCATTAGCTGATTGATATGGAAAGAAAAGTAAGTCGGCTAAGTGGTACAAGGAAAGTTCATTTATTGGCCACATCAATAGCGTTGAAAGATGTTGGATGAATAGAATTGGTTAAGGTGGTTCTTCAGAAGAACTAAGAGTTTGGAATTTTTTTGAAATTTATAATAGAGGCTTGGAACTTTTGGAAATGTTTAAATGTCCAGGAATTGGTATAATCCAGTGTGGAATCAAGAGTTTTGAGTTATTGTGCTTTGGGATTTATAATTTTAAATTAAAAAGTCTAGGATATTTGTAGTTAATTTTTAAAAATGTTAACTTTAGATATTCAGGAGTAAATAATATGTCTAGTGTGAATTAAGAGTTTGAAATTTGTATATTTATTAAGATTAAATTAAAGGTTTGGAGTTAATTTAATTTATGATAAGGTTTAAGATACAATTAGAAAGAAGGTTCTGAAGATGAATTCAGGTATCAAAGGAGATCCAATTAGATCCAATTGTGTTTAATTTGATGACTTGAAATTACTTAGCTTTGAGATACTAGGAGTATAATTGTTGCAAGACGCGGAGGAATGTTGTTTACGAGATATGTTTTAGAATACGAGGTAATAAGGAAGAGGATTTTATGATAAAAGAGCGATGAATATACTGCAATTATCATAGAATATTTAATAAGTCGTATCAAAGTGTAAAATAATGCTGTAAAAATTAAAACAATATTGGGAAAAGAATGATCGAAACAGAAGAAACAACAATCATATCCGAAATATAAATCTAAATACAAATCTATTTATAAATCGATTTTCAATGCTCGAAAACGATTTCTGCAGATTCAGTAAGAGCAATAATTTCACGAATTCCTCCAGAGTTCGAAGTACTAACTGATATACACAGATTGAAACAGAATGGCAGAGAGGCAGGGTTGGCCACGATTATGAGCATGTAAGCTTGCTAACTTTAACGAAACTTCGTTCGAGGATAAAGTTGCTAACTGTGGTCCGTTGCTAACTATGGTTTCTATGATTGTTGTCGAGGTATACGCATGTTCCTGGCAGTTTGATTCGAAGACCATTTCGAACTGACCAACCATCTGTCAACTTTTTGTTCAAAAGTTAACTCCATTACTATTTCCATTTTCGACACATCGTACATATATACGACAGAACTCTAACTGTTGGAACGAAATTTTGATTCAGGTCCAGTTAACTCAACTTCCACCGATTAAATCCACTAATCTGACCACGAACTCGTATTATTTGCGCAAGAAATTGCAGTGGAAACAATCAGCGATTTCTATTACACGAATTGTTTGCCTCTCGACTTAGACAAACGAAGTTTCGAATTGTAAGTCGAAAGAGAATTGCAACGATTCCAAACTAATCACAGTTTTTGAGTAATTTAACTGCAAAGTACGTATGAAACTTTTGTTTATTGGATATATTTACTGGATTTCAACTATACTAGTAAAGATTAAAGATCCAACAAATAATTCTTTAAGAATCATTTTTAATCATTTTTCATTAATCTAATATATCACTTACCTAACAAAAAACCTTCTAATCCTTGTCTAATTCTAATCATAAGAATCACATTACACATCACGCTGACTATCACCTATGATATATAAACATTTCTTTAAAGGAAAATTCTAAATTATATAATTTTTCTGTTGTTCTAGGAACAAGAAAAGGATTGTTTCCTTTACCAATTTATTCTCTCAAAATTGCAAAATTAACCAACCAAACTATCCAACTACGTTCAACAACAACAACAACAACTCTTTTGTCTAAACCATCAACTTGTCTTGCCTTTTGGCACGCTAATTAAGGTACTCACGATGTAAAAGGCGGGCGTGTAAAGACCGAAACCGGCTGCTCCTGCAGCCAGCATCAACATCCTGACAGGGCGACTTCCAAGAGGGCTAAGATCGACCCACGGCTGCCTTGGCGGCTTCGACGGGGTCTTCTTCTCCTTCAACTTCCCACCTCGTTGATTTTTCACGTGCAACATTGCCCGCCGTTGCGGGTGATAGAGGGAGGCGCTCTTATAAATCAAACCCAGGAAGAAGGCCAACGAGAGGGCTCCGGTTACCGACTGCATCCCACGCTCCCAGCCCAGCTTTCTGAGAAAACATCGCGTCGTTACGGTCATAGAAAAGAATCGCTTATTCTTACGTAACTTTCCCCCTTCGTATCCCTCTACTTTCGCTTTTCTATTTGCATTCTCTCTCGTTTTCCCTTTCGTTTCTTTTCGTTTGTAATCTTTTAACCTAATCTAACCTTGACGAATTGAAGTGAAGAATTCTCGCAATTAACGATCGATTTTAGTTACGATAAATCGAAACTTGTTATAAATTAACTTTGTTAAATTTCGAAGTTATTATATTATAGGAGCAGAGTTTAATCGATCGTTCCATTTCGAAATTTGTTATTTTAATTTTTCAGTTTTATTTTATAAGGAATGAGAAGGAAGAAGAATAATCTTATTCACGCAGAAAGAGGAAATTTTTTTACTTATCGCCCTCCAATGAGAATTCTGAACAATCCAACCGGAGAAAAGAGGAATCCAGTTAAGAAAAGGCGTGATGGATTCATGGTCGCTCAGGTTTCGTCGAACCGAGAGAGAGAGAGAGAGAGGAGGAAGAAGAAGAAAA